GCCCGGGTCCATTGTGGTGGATTCCCGCTGGACATGCCCGTTGAAGGTTATAGGGTTAGGGCCTATACTATCCAAGTTCTACATAGTGCGTGGTCCGACGCGCCCCCGTCCGATTTTCTCCGTCCCTGATTGGCCGCCCGTGCGTGCTCCCGCTCCCGCCTCCGCGTGCCCGCAGTGGGGCCCGGTCACAGTCGAGCTCCCTCTTCCCTTCTCATATCTCATGGCACAGATGCTGGTGGTACAGCAGGCAGTTCAGATGGCCGAGGATGGGCAGGTGGAGCACCCTGCAGATGCGCTGGATGCCATGCGTGAACGCTTCCTCCTCCCAGGAGTGGCTGCCCCCTTTGGCTGGGTGACCCGGCTGCGGACATTCGGCAAGCGAGTGCAGAACACCACCACGAGTCTAGGGTATGTCTACTGGAGCGATGACCAGCAGACTCTAAGCTATAGAGAGCTGCATCTAAGCATAGCAGGGCTCCGGCGCTTCGTGCGCACGCAGGTGGAGCTGACACAGCACAAGCTTGAGCAGCTCTTTCTTGTTCATGAAGAGGAAGCACGGGAGGTGGTAGTGCCACGCCTGGCACTGGCCCAGCTGGCGGACAGCCCCTACAAACAATCAGCGCGGCTGGAACTTTCTTTCAAGCACCGCAGAACTGCAAGGCCCTTCCAACCACAGGGGAGCGATGGCTGCTGGACCGAGTCCTCACAACAGACAGGCTCCGGGCAGAGTGGGTAGCTGTACGGCCATCTGATCATCAGGTGGTCTGGGACACAGCAGTTGTAGATGACTATCTGCAGCAGGTGGATGAATTTCTTGAGCAGCTGCTTCTTGTGGTTCATCTCACTGGGGGCCAGCCTGCGCGGGCCACAGAGCTGCTCAGCATACGGCACAGTAACACAGTCTGCGGCCGCCACCGCAGCATTTTTATTGAACATGGGCTGGTGAGCATGGTGACAACCTATCACAAAGGATACAGCATGACCAACTCCACAAAGATCATCCACCGCTATCTGCCAGCAGAGGTCAGTGAGCTGGTGGTGTACTACCTCTGGCTGATTCTACCTTTCGCGCGGGCGGTCCAGCGGCTTGCATATGGAGACACTGATAGCCAGGGGGGCTGCGGTCACCATTTCTCTGGCCGCGGGGGCATGGACCGTGGGACAGCAGCCGGCTGCGGGTGGTGCTTCAGCGCGAGGCAAAGACACACCTCCAGACCAAGCTCAATGTAATCCCTTGGCGGCATGCCGCCATTGCCATCTCGCGTATGCACCTGTCCTGTGGAGGGTTCAAGCGGGAATATGAGGCAGATGATGCGGCAGTAGACCAGCAGGCAGGCCATGGATCCTGGGCTGCAGGTACAGTATATGCGCGGGGGCTGCAGGAGGCACCAGGCCACATTGAGGAACGGCGTGTGTGGTACCAGGCTGTCAGCCGGGAGTGGCATGAATTCCTGGGGTTTAACCCAGGGGTGCGAAAGCGGGCACGGAACATGGAAAAGAGCGTTAGCAGAAAAGCTCAAAAACAGCAGCCATCATATGTAACAGTAGAAATAGATGATAACATAGAGCTATAAATGATTAAAGATATATATTTTTCTCATGCAATTCATTATGACCAGATTTCCAACTTCAGCAGCTAGCTGTCATCTTTATAAATTTCAATACAAATCAGCCTTTCACCTCCGTTATAAAATGTATAATATTATATTTTCATAGACAACTCATCACAACCAGACCTTAAACTTCAGTAGCCAGTTATATTATATATACAGAGTATGATATTTAATTTCAAGACATAATTTCATCAGAAAATCATATTATTACAACATTAAGGTAGATAAGTTGTTTTGCAGAGTTATCAATATTAAATATATATATTTCCCCCCAGGGCAACTACCATCATCAAAACGGTCACAGATCAGCAAAATAACAATCAGACAGAAATTAACATCATACATTTAAGTATTCATCTGCAATTGTTTAGAAGCATTACAAAACTTAAATTTAGAGCAAATTAACATTGTCGAGTGAAGTTTATTTATACTTCATTTTCAAAGAATATATATATATATATATATCAACTCAAGAATACACTGACTTCATTAACATGGAACATCAATTATTCATTCAGTGTGAATCATACCCCATCATCATATGGCGTCAATGCAAGTATGCAGTATGGCCAACAGAAATTGAACGGCATTTGAAGGGTTCAACTCATCAGTTAAAGTATACAGCCACACAGAGTATCAAGCAGATAATTCAACAGTGGGATCATATCGCGCATGATCTCAGCCAGTTGATATTATCCACAGAATTGAACAAACCAATACATGAGCTGCTCATCCACAAGGGCTACATGTGTTGGCGGCAATCTGAATGTTAGTATGTTGGAGGAACTATACGGACCATGTACAAGCACTGACAGACCCAACACAGCTGGACTCCATGTCTCAGTCAGGGTTGGAGTCATCACAAAACCATATGCAGGTACAGAATGAGATCAACAAAGTAAATAAAAATAGCAAAATATATAAAAAAACTGAAAGGGTTCATTCTGGAGTGATTTTAAACACAGAAAAACAAACATTAGTCGAACACGCTGGACCCAAGCCGTTGGACGTCGAAGCCGTTGGACGTCAAACCCGTTGGACGTCAAACCCGTTGGACGTCGAAGCCGCTGGGATGAGCGCATTAAC